CCCCCCCCCAACGCCAAGAGCAGCTGCCTGACTTTTCCTTGGCTCCTGTCCCATTTAGGTTTTGGTACCTGCTTGGAAATTATTTTTTTTTCCTTGACTATGATTCTCCATGTATGCTTCAGCAAGTGTGCTTTCATAGAATTATGCTTCTCAGGCATCTTTCTCCTCCATACAGTATCCCTGTTGCAAGTTAAGTCTACTGAAATAATTTACAAATTGATTTAAAGTATTATGACACTTTGGGCAAGATTCAAAAGATTTTACCCAGGAGTCTTTGAATGTCCCAGCAGTCGCCCTTCAGGACAGGCAGTTTAAAAGGACTTCAGGAGGGAGCAGAGTGGGGCACAAATTCTATTTCTAGAAGCATGCTCAGAAGTACAGAAGCCTTCTACCAGCTCCGTTGATTTTGCCCACTCATCATTAGATTAAATCTGTACTCTCAGTATTCACTGCACTTGTTGGAGTTCAGTATGATGAAACTATGGAAATATCTCCATTTATTTCAGCTGTTTGAATTATGATTAAATGAAGCTGTCAAAATATGGAGTCTCCATACTTAATGTTTTTCAGATTAAATTGTTGATTGCTAGGCAAAGAAAACAAACTGCATTTTCTGGTTCAAACTACGTTTTCTAGTTTTCACACAGCATTGCTGCTCCTGGATTGCAGCCCTTCTGCAGGGTGTTGAAGTCAATTAACTTGATTTAGAAAAGTGCAGTAATTCCTTCTTTGAAGGAATAAAAGGACAAAGCTTCTGGACCAGATGGCAAGATAACACCCCTTTAGGTTACGATGTAAATTATGCACTTTTTTCCTTGTATATGTATTTCTTAGTCTTCAGATAACCCTGTTACTTCCAGTAGGCCTGTTTGGGTCACTCCTGTGGTTATGTTCGTCCTCCAAACTTCCTTGTTACTGCTAGAGGAAGTAATATGTAAATCTGGCTCTGATTTTTAACATAGGCTGGAAAAAGTTTGGTGCAAGGAGATAGAGACATAATCACCCCAGCTTTTATGCAGACTTACACAGTGCAAGTATTGATTGCTAACTGTAGCATTTGGCTGAATTAGCTGTGCTTGAACACAAAGTTAGCAAAACAAGCTTTTGAGTGGATGTGTACATGAGTTTTGACCTGAACTGAATTAGCTGAGCAGAAGGAGTCTTGAGTGCTAATAGACAAACCAGTCTAATTTAGTAGCTGGGGAGCTAGCGACTAGAGTTAATCAGAAACTCTTGTACTCTTGCTTCTCCTCCTCTAATTCTAGGTAAATACTCAAAACACTGAACTATGGGCTTAGTCCCTCTGTGCCATTAATATTAATATAAATTTTTAAAACAATAATACAGTCTCTAGAAACATTGTAGTCTTTGTACTAGGTCCTTCATGAACTCTGGGGATGGCCTGTGTAACGTGTAATAAAACTGGTTTTTTTTTTCTAGGCAAACCACAGCTATGAGGATATATTTAAGTTGGGCTTTCCAGAAGTCTTTGTATCACAGTCCAGAGAGAGTGTAAGAAGCTTAGATCAAGTACTTGATACAAATAATGAAGATGTTGGGATTCCTGAATTTAAGAAGAAACAACTTTGGTAATGAGTTTACATATTTTTTTTAAAAAAAACTGTTGATCTAAAAGTTCCTCAGCAGTTAATGACACTGTGTATTTCATAATTTAAAAATCAGTGGTACTTGCAGTTAAACTTAAAAATATTGTTAATCACTGTGCTCTTCAGCATACAGCTTTTACCAATTTTGTATTGTGTTGTTAAAGGAAATGGACTGTGGTTTAGCCATTGGAAAACAAGGAAGGGAATATATCAAAATTACGAATTCCTGCTCAGGGTTTTTCCTGCTGTTGATGTGCTTTCTTATGACTAAGCCTCTGGAATGCCAGAACACCCAACAGGCAGCCTGCTCTTCCTGTTCGTTTGTCCTCTCTTTACAACACATCCAACTTATTTCTGCATCATCTGAGGCAGGAGGAGCATTGCTGCTGCTGCTTCTACTGACAACCCACTTTTCTTTTTTTTTTTTTTTTTTTCCTCCCAGGTGGTAACTACTTCTCATGTTTAACCAGATATGCTTCAGAATCTGTGGTGCATCTGGCTTCTTTCCTGGGGTTATGTTAATAGCAATTAGTATCACTAACTTAGCTTTCTCTTTAGACAGCTGGAATGCTTTTAGATTTGTTACATGGTTTTGAAGGATCAGCAGCTTCTGAGCAGTATTGTGGTTATTTTTGCATACATCTGAGGCTTTGTTTCTAGAAAGCTGGGTCAGACCATGCTTTAGAAATGTCATAAGAATCACAAGAAGTGTAGTTAAAACATTTAATGCAAGCATCCTTTCATCAGGCTCCTTACAAGTGCATTATATTTTGATCAGCCTCAGACTTGTGGACAACTGTGATTTATATATAAAAGGGACTGCAATATTATAGCAGAGTACCAACGACAGACAAAAACACCCTAAACTGCTGTGGTGAATAACTAAAATCAATGATAATTGCATCCTGTACCAAGCAAAAAGCAACTGGATTTATATAGGATGAATACAATGTAAGAACCCAAAGTGCTGCGTAGAGGGAACTCTTTAATTCTCACTGTTTCAGCAGCGTGTGCCTTGGGCTTGTTATATAGTATGTATGTGTACAGATCAGATGCAGGTCACCCACCTGAGCAGCAGGCTGCTGCAGTGGAGAAGCATGGCTGATAGGAAGGAGAAAGGTTTGAGAGACAGAAAATGCAAAGTGCGGAATTAATAGTGCTGAACTCTACCCATATTTCACAGAAGCAATTGAATAGTGCAAGCTGTTGGCATATAACAATCTCTGAAATATGCTTCTAATGCACTTCTTATCTGAGAAGCTCAAACATACAGTTCTGTTGACTTACTGTTTCCATTGTCTTGCAAGATTATTAGTACATTGGGTTGATAGTTTGAATGAATGTAGAAAGAGTTTTAAGATAAGTTGCTTTTTAGATCAAGGGAGGCTACTTACATGAGTGTATGTAGTGACAATAAGTTATAGATGTTCACTGGAGACTTTGTACACCTTCTAACCTCAAATTATGTTTTCTTTCCTAGCATTGATTCTGGAAACATATGGAGAACACTTAGAGACTTTGATAATACCCCCAGTTTAAGACATCCCTGGAGTAAATCTCATTGCCAAGAAAACCTCTTGAGTGTTCTTGGAATAGATGCAAATCAGAAGGTAATTGAACAACGGTTTGCTGGTATGCCAGCATAAACACTTGGTCACCAATCTGATTTTCTGTAAGCTACATGTGCAGATGTATGAGGAACTAGGTCTGGGTGAGTCAGAAGTTTTTTTTAGAGAGAGCCTTTAAAAATGATAAGTCTAGTGTTTTTTCATCGTTATGTGTAAGTAACTGTGAAATTGTGCAGGATTAAATTTTGATTGTCTTTACATTAAAGTCTCCACTCTGTAGTGCCCTCTTGTTAGGTGGTTCGTTCAGCTCCCGTATAAATGTGGAATTAGCTTTCAGATGTGTGTGCAGTAAGATGATTTTCTTTTTTGCTAAGAGTATGAGAAAATTGTTAGCCTCTAATATCTTTCCATTAAGTGAAAATCAGATTTGAATCAGAGAGGCTGTTAAAGTAATTACTGGATGTTTTTACTGTATAGGAACTGAAAGTGTGTTCCACTTCTCTTTTCCTCAGATTATTTGGTCTGTTTTTGCAAGGCTTGAGGGAGACTATGTTTTAAATTGAATTGAGACAAAACCAACAGTATTGAAAGATCTCAGATGTCTCTGTTTAATCTCTTGTTTTGAGAAGATAAAGGTATCAGAGGTCGTTTAGTATTCAACCTGGTTATTTAGTTAGGATGAATGAATCACATGTGGTTTTCAGAAGTAACTGTTTCAATTGATAATTTGATTGCTTAAGTATGGTGGGGGGGTACAGTGTTCAATTTTGATTTTATGGACATATTTCACCTTTAATGCAAGTTTATATACAAACAGAACAACCGTGTTGAAGGTGTAGGACCTGTTCTGCAGTTGAAAGTCACTTTTACAGAACTGACACTTAACAGGAGAGAATGGGAGACATTTCTCCAAAATAGCTGAACTCTTCTGTTCCTTTCTTGCCCATGGATACACTAGCATTAAATCAGTGCCCAGGCAGTTTAAAGTTATGTCATCACATCTTTTCTGTTACTGGAAAACTTCATTGCTTTTAACAATACTGATGAAAATGTATTTCTTAGCTATTTTCTGGTGTAGGTTAAGGCTAATTTTAATTGGAAATGGCTTTTTAAATTAATATAAGTCACAGTTAGATTCATGCGTGTAGAACTTGTTTTGGCATAAACCCGTTTTAATGCAGCGGACACATGGTAAATCAGGAAGTGAAATTTAGTGGATATTGTTATTTGAGGGAAACTTATCTTTAGGTTACATACTTTGAGATCAGATGGAAATTAGTAAAGAAAATGTAAATTATGTTTTATTAGGACTTTTTGGAGAGCCAGGATGATATTTTTGAGGAATCAAATGTTAAAGATAATGAGGACTTTGGATTTGATGGATTCAGTATTAATGACTGCAAAGCACTGATCCAGACTAAGGTAAGAATTGTTCTGAAAGTAAACACTTCAAAGAACCACGGAGTATATTCTACATGTTCTTCTGTGCTGTAGCCAGCTGTTCCAGCATGTCTCCTAACATAACTGGAGGTGAAGTTGTTCTTTTCCTCTTTGAAACCTATCTGACGGCTTTAGAAAAGGTACAGTATAATGTACCAAATGCGAAGCAACATAACTGGGGGATACTGAAATACAAGGTTGTTCATTACATAGGCTGGATTTTAGGCCAAATTACTTATTGGTTGAGAGAGCGCAGCGATATATAAAATGTAGTCAGGATGCTCTGATGATGGAGGAAGATTAGCGTGTCTATAGAAGGATCAGCACATCCATCACTGATGATTGTAACTTACTCCTAAAATACGTGGTAAGGGAAAGACCAGAGGCAAAGCTGGTAGAGGAGAAACTGCATTCAAACTTGTATTTCAGATATTTAGAATGATTCAGATTTGCGTTGTTCACTCGAGGAGAAAATAGGCCACTTAAGGTGGAAGGCAGAATTGATGTTAAAATTACAAGGATTTGGGAACATCACTGGTTTTAGGCTCTGTTACAAAATATACAGATAAATTAAATACTTTGTTGTTAGTGTGCTTATATCTTTGGTCAAATGGGCCTTAATAAGCTCTGTTTCTTGCTAAAGCAGTGGAAGTTGGAAGGAAAATTCCTCATTGCTTTAAAAAAAAAATCAGTTGCGTTCTGTTTTTAATAAAGTATTTTGGATGAATATTCTTAACCCAAGGTCCCTTTCTCAGCGAAGAATAAAATTTGAGCAACTGTTGTTGCTGTGGAGATGCATAGTTTGAGGAATGCTTTCATTGCTCTGTTTTAGTCTTTTTACTGCATTGGACGATGAAGATGTATAATCATTCCGGGAACCTTGTGCATAAGATATGTTAGGCTGGAGAATTCAGAAAGAAAACCCAAAGAGACTGTCCAGCTTACTACTTTATAATTCAGTTCTGCTTTTGTCAGTGGGTACATGGGGGTGGGATCACAGTAGCTGACACGTACTTGGAAATGTGTAAAATACAGAGACAGGATTTAGACAGAGTAATGGTTCGAGGTAGATGGAGTAAAAGTAAAAAGAATCATAATACAAAGTTAAGGTAAATGGACAGTGTTTTTCTGGAGTAGACTCTGAAGGGAAAAAACAAGCTCTGCAGCTTGATGTCTCAAAGTAAAGCTCATTAGGAAATGTATGTTGGCATTTCTAATTTTAAGTAAGTTAAATCCTGTAGTGGGATGTTTTCCATTTATCTTCTCAGTTATGTCCTTTTTTCTTATGATAATTTCATTTTTAAGAAAACTATATATTTTGTCTAATTTTTATAAAAAGTGATTAATTTTTTTTTTCATCCTACAGCAAGTTAACTTAAGTTGTTTGTTTTTGTTTTTTTTTTTTCACTCAGCTTTCTGTATCACCAGATTCTGGACATGGTCATCTTTTCACCTGTAACCTCTTTTTGAAAACCACATCACCAAATGGAAACATGCAATACATAACAATCCCAAAGAAGAAGCACATTTTTGCTGCACACAACCTAAAAATGAAATTTTTCAGTAGTGATATATGTTGAATGAAATGCACTTTTTTTTTTTTTCTTTTTTTGAACTGACTACAGTTCACCTTCATTTTGTTAACTGGCTTGGTACTATAGACTACATAATGTTCTTTAGGAAAGTGACATATTGCTATGTCAGGTACCTAAAGCCATGCTACTAGAAGATATTTATCCTAATTAGTTATGAAGTTAAAGGTATAATTTTGTCCTGCTAAATTCTGCTGCAGGGTCTCTTACAGTAAATCCAGCTGCAGTTGCACCTTAAAGATACACTGGTGGACTACTCTCCTGAACTACTGACCTTTCAGGCCTTTAATGCCTCTTTGATCAAAAACCTTGTTTCCCTGCCAAAATCTAAACACACCTCAGGTGTGTTGTAAACTGTGCCTTGTCACCATCTCTCCTCATATTTGGTCCAGTTTGGATCAGCTGAGATCTGTTACTTTGCCACTGCTGAACATGAGAGGAGCCTTCTACACCTGGTGGCTTTCACTGCAGTTTAGGAAAATAAAACTCTCTTAACTTCTGACAAAGCCTACTGTGGTGGCAGGGGTAGTGTCAGTGAAATGTTTTGTTTTGGCATTAGTTTCTAACTGAAATAAATCACCTCTCTGAAGCTGATTTTAACAGGACTTCTTGGATTCATTCAAGCTACCAAACACTTGTACCCCACACACCCGTGCTTGTTAAGGATTAACAGGGGTGTAGTTCAGGACTTGCACAATGCTGTAAATTGCTGCCCTCTTAAAATTTTATAGTAACTATTGACTATGTTGCCCTTCTTCCTTCATGTTTGAGTGCCAGAGGGGATGCACTTCACTATCATTCATATAATCCATGGTGCTTCCTTGCCAACTGCAACAGCTTCATTTATTCATTGGTAATAACTTTTATGCAAGTTACTAAACCCTTTACTGCTTTAGCCATTCTGAATATGAGAATTTTATATGGCTTTTTATTTTAAAGAGTTTCTAAGCACTGCAACTGATATTTTATGTGTTAAAAGCAGGGAAAAAACTTGGGATATTCTAAAACTACATCAGTTATTTAATTATGTGCCTTTTCTGTTCTTAGAATTAAGAATACTAAAAAGCACTGACAGACTCCAACCCTTAATCTAGTAAACTGTTCAGCAGTGAAATTACAGTTACAATGATTTATAACTTCAGCAGGGTTTATGGTACCTCAGTACTGTTAGCACAGGGTGAACTGTGTGTTGGTTACTCAGTAAATGGGAACAAGCCATTTGGACAAGTGCTGTTTGGAAGTGGCTCAGCAGCTTCCCTGGCCCTGCAGGGAGTTCTGCAGTGCCAGACTGAAAACTCCACGTGGATGCAAGAGCAGGGTTAACTTCTTCACTTAACACTGGATTTGAATCAATTTTCAGTTTCCCTGAAAGTAATAAGGACTGAAAGATAAGTCCTTCAGAACATTCGAACATGTATTACATAGATCACAGTCATACACTCACAAAAATTTGCCAATAAATGATAAAGGGATAGCTGAGGTTGGTTATGAAAATTATTGAAATCAATTATAAGAATAAAACCCCCTTTTAATGCTTTTGGACAAGCAGGGCCCTGCGAAGGGGCTCAAGGGGGCAATCTGTGGCATGTGTAGTACCAGAGGCCCTCTTTTCCTCCAGACGTGCCAGTTTGCTTTTGCTAACATTGGATTAATGTATCTAAGAATGCTTTGCACTGTTACCTCAGGAGGATAAATCCATCATCTTTCCCTCCTACTAGCAGGTTTTTACAGCCCTGTCCAAGGTACAGATTGGGGGGAAAAAAAAGAGGTTTCAGCCCTTTTTGACTCAGTGGGGAAAAAAAATATTGGTGCTCCTAAGGTGATGGGCTCCACTTTTCAGATTCTTCTTTTTTGGACACAGGCTTTGGGTCACCTGAGCCCTGACTGCCTGTAACCACAGGCTGCACAAGACAACCAAGAGACTTTTTGACACCTGTCTCCAGTCACATGAACAAGTTCCATCTCTTCGAAGACTATCAGCTTTAAAACTACAAAGTAATTCAATTCAGCTTCAAGGTTGTGGAGTCCTGGCAGCCCTCATCAGAATTTGGACACAATTCTGGGGTACTCACAAAGTTGCACTATTTTTCCTTACTGACGAGGGCACGTTCGGGGAGACAAATTCATTTTAGTCGACTGTTCGCAGGCATAGTGCATAGTTGAAAGTAGCCTTGCCTTTGCCTTCTGTTATCCTGGGAAACGAGGGGTGCCGGAAACCCCTCTGGTGTGTTCTGCACAAATAGTGGCTGTTCATTTCCTTTAGTCATTTCCTGGTTCCTGCCTGCCCCAGCAACCACTGCCCACCCGCTCCCGCTGCACTGGGGAGCAGCAGGTGCTACTTCTGTGAAAAGGGGGCACAGAGGAAATAAAACTTTGTATCTTGGTATGTTTTAAGATACAGATTTAATAACTTCTTAGTATTTCACAGCTGAGATTAGAACTGAGTTTTGATGAACTAAACATGTTACTGTACTCTCTGTTTGTGGAAAGCAAATAGACTTGTGACATTTGCTTAGGATTTTGAAAAGGTGAAAACTAAAGGTAAGAGTTTTAGACAGCAGAGGCAGTCAGAAATGCCTTTTTCTTCCACTGAGATTAGAGGGAAAATATACCCATTTTTAAAAGTTCAAGCCAGAAATGTAATTACTGAAATGTTTCCTTTGTGGAAGGAACACTGTAAATAGTTTTGAAAAAAAAAAAAAAAGCCTACATTGTAAAAGACTGAAAACATTTCAGTGCATATTCTGTTCAAAGCTACAACCTAAGTAAAATTTTAGGGAACTTATTCCAACACTCCTTAAAATTGAACGGAGTAGGAAGGCAAAGCTTTGTGAAGTTTTGTTTTAGAAACAGCATATTCCTAGGATTTGTAGACTTATTTTTAAAAGTCCAAAGAACATGTAGAATTTCATTAACAACAAAAACCCCAACCCTAGCATGACTTCTAAGTATACCATAAGCCCACCAGTGGTTAAACATATGCAGAAGACTTGGGAGTAAAATAAAAAAAAAAATATCTTGGGAAAGCTTGAAAGTTCCTTTCGAAGTGCAGGGTCATTACAGAATTTAAGAGTGCTCTGATCTTTTTAATAGTGAAGATCAGTTTTAATAATTCCCCCATTTTTAAACTGGATTTAACTTAAAAATCCAATTTTTTTAGTACTCCTACTCCAGTTAGGTTGGCAGAGGGAATTTGGCTAAAAATGAGCTGCATTCAAATTAATTGTTAACCCCCCCAAAGTCCCCTGTGGATCCGAGTTTAACTTGCCACATCCACTCCGGAGGAGTCAAAGAAAACAAAACCAACCCATGTAGCCAGCAGATGCAAGAGGCTCCCTTCAGTCACATCGGGCAGTTCTCCTTTCCTTCTACTGAAACAGGGGTGGAAGTCCCCAAAACTGCCATCCCACCACACAGCCTGGGTGCCAGTGCAGAGCCAGCCCAGCGCTCTGCTGGGAGAGAGGGGTCCTAATGAGGGAAAAATATATGGAAGGAAGTCGCAACACTTTTTTTCTTTTTTCAATCAAGGCAAGATTCCTGTGAATTCTGGGCAAATACCTAAATGCCAAAAATCTTCCAGGCTCCCTGAACCTCTGCTTTAATAATACATACTGTACAGACAGATTTCTGTATCTTAATAGCTTAACTCTTCTAATACTGGGTTTTAATGGCTCAAAATCAGTTTTGCAACTAATTGTATCTTCCTCACAGAACTAGTCGGGTTTTTTTGCTTTTGTACATTTTATTTTGTGTATTTTAGTCTTGCCTGAGCTGGAAAGTTACATCTTTTTAAGTCTCAGTTCCAGTATACAGGATACTGAGCTAGACAGCACTCCAGGTAGTACCTGCACCTCCCCATGTTTTAAGCCAGCACTGCACTGAGCTGTGCTGCTCAGCATACTTTTAAGTTCTAATCTTTCACTATGACAAATATTGATGAAAGCATATGAAACCCTACACCACCTTTAAAAGGTCTCACCATGACCTGAAATTAATATTTCAAAAGTATTTTTCTTAAAAGACTAAACTGCAGCGTATCTTTATAGGGCAGCATTTTCTCTTGCCAAACTTCAGGACCCATCAGTACAAGGAGGCCTGGAAGTATTGGTGCTGTCCCGCTCAGCAGTGCGGTCACAGGGTTAACATCATGATGGGAACCACCTCACAGCCAAAACCAGAGTTCTGCAAAAAAATTATTTCTAGATCTTTGCTTTTTATGCTGTGGTCAGCATGTTCCAAGACAAAAGGCAGGAGGAATTCCTGGTCTGTAAGTAGCAGGCAGTGCTGTCTCATCAGTAAAATGAAGTTCATTGCAGGAGTCAGGATCTTATTTTTGAGGTCCCCAACAGGAAGAGGATGGAAACCTTTAAACCTGAAGTCACTGGTGTAGTTTGTATCAGCATGGACTAGCAAACAACTTTCCCCTAGCACAGAGTGGCAGTATTTTTGCCCCAGACTGACAAGTATACAAGTCTGACCTGTGAACAAGTACGCGCATCGACACTTGTATCTGACACGCTTCAAAGCGCAGCAACCCCTGAAGCAACGCTTAAGAGCTGCGTGGGGAGGCTACGTAGGGCAGCTGGGACAAACACCAGAGGACGGCTCAGTGCTAACACACACGTCACCTATTCACAACAGGAATCCCCCACGCCACCAGCCAGAAAAAAATTTTTCTGTGGGCCATGCCACACGTTCTGTGGGAACAGGATGCACAAAGGGGATGCCGTGTTGTAGGAAAAGTCAAAACTTAGAGCTAACAGCTTAAACATTAATAATAGCTAGAGCAGACAAAGCTAGCAGCTTAAATATTAATAGCTGAAGTAGAGCAAGCCTACAGATCGTGGTGTATGAACTGTACCAACTGTACTACACCCCAGCTAACTACAGCATCGGCTGAAACCAACCTGGGAGGATGTGATATTGTTTAAGACAACGACCACTTAGCAACCGCTTAGTGACACAACAGCAAACAAATAAAACCAATAAAAAGCAAGACCCCAGACCTTAATACTATTTTTGGTCCAGAGTACCACATGAGGGGTGGGGAACTGAAGACTGTAAAGGTGTAATTGCCCAGGGATTTCTTTGTTCATGGTCACTCTGTGGAGGCACCCAGCTCAAGCTGTAGCATTATTAATCAAAAGTACTTTCATAAACAAAACCCATCTTTCAGATTATGTGGAAACCTAGAGTCGAACCCTGCTACGGCAGCTGGTGCGTGTAATTTCCGTAACAGCAAAGCTGTTAAGGCATTTAGTATTTCTGGGGAGAAGGTAAGGGGAAAAAGAAAAGAAACAAAGAGGGTAAAAAAGCAACCACCTAAGGAAAATGTTACAACTTCGTGAGCAAAAGATTAAATGAAGGGTGGCAAGGTACCATGTTTGTTTGTTTTGCTTTCAAAACAGTCAAACACTGAAGGCTTCAAAATATAAATGGTTAAACTGCAAAACTGTGGCTTTATTTCCAAACATACAATAAATAGGTCCACCACAACTAGCCTCTAACTTCATTTTACATGGAAGGATTTTAAAATTAGTTTGTGCATATTTAAAAATTAAACTTCCCTTTGCACATAATTCCATACATAACTGAACTGCATTACATACCAGCTTATGGTCTTGGCACTGTGATGCAAGCAACCAATTAGAAACAGAGCTCTGTAGCAAGCACTCGAGCAAAAACTGCATTTTGAATTGTTGATAAAATATCTACCAACAATTTAGTATTTTTCTGAAGTATACAAAAAAACCTTTAGCATGTAAACGCTGAAAAGCGAGTTATCT